AAACTTAAAGTCTTTCGTTTTTTTTATTTAATTGCTTTCGTATATGGTTATTGTTGAGAAGTTATCAGAGAATGTTTAAAGTTTGGCTGCCCTAGCTCCATTAGTAGGCGCCATCACGACTCTCGATGGTGGGGAAATCCGGGTCGTGACAAGTTGGTATCAGAGCTCTAGGTTGCGTAGGTCTCACAACTCGCGGACAAACTCAGTAGAGTCTGAGGGATCGATACGGAGACGTCTGTATTTATCCCCAGAGGCTACAGAGTTAGGAAAAAATTTCACCTTGTTCTTTCTTGTCGTGCGATTCTGTTTCTCAATACTGATTGCCGTTCTACTCTGTTCTTTCGCAGATGGCGAGAACACGTGCTTCACCTTCTACTGCGCAGCAGCCCGAGTACTTTGGTCTCATAATAAATAGTATTTGTATTTGTGATAAACGATGGAAGCCAACACTAGTAGAATAGTTACTTTAAATGGCACAAATTATGTCATTTGGAAGGGCAAAATGGAAAATTACTCTATGTCAAGAATTTTCATCAACTTGTTTTCGCCATTATAAAGCCTGATAATAAATCAGATGAAGAGTGGAATTTGTTACACAGGTAGGTTTGCGGCTTTATTAGACAGTGGGTTGACGATATTGTTTTGAACCATATTTCTGGGGAGACACATGCTCGGACCCTATGAGAGCACCTTGAAAGTTTGTATGCTCGGAAAACTGGAAACAACAAGATGTTTCTGATAAAGTAGATGTTGGGTTTAAAATACCATGATGGTTCCACGATGACAGATCATTTGAATAATTTTCAGGGGATCATGAACCAGTTATCTGCTATGAGCATTAAATTTGATGAAGAAATTCAAGGCCTGTTTCTACTTGGTTCCCTACCAGATTCTTGGAAAATTCTTAAAACTTCATTATCAAATTCTGCTCTGGATGGTGTGATATCAATGGATCTTGCCAAGAGCAGCCTTTTAAATGAAGAGATGAGAAGAAAATCTCAGGGTTCCTCCTCATCAGATGTCTTGGTGACTGACTCTAGAGGGAGAAGCAAGAATTGGAGTTCTCAAAATAGAGAACAAAATAGAAGCAAATCCAGAAGCAGACTTAAAGATATTAAGTGCTATCATTGCGGGAAGAAAGGGCACACAAAGAAGTTCTGCCGGATTTTGAAAAAAGAGAATAGAGACAAGGAAGACAAGAAAGAAGATGACAATCATGTGGCCACCGTCACTACAGAAGATCTTGTTATAGTGCTTGATGCAGATCTGATAAATATTGCTTGTGATGAGTCAAGCTGGGTTGTGGACAGTGGTGCCGCATCTCATGTGACATCAAGGAAGGAGTTTTTTTCATCCTATACTCAGGGTGACTTTGGAACTTTGAGTATGGGTAATGAGACTGTATCTAGGGTGGCTGGTGTTGGAACGATTTGTTTGGAAACTAGCATTGGAACTAAACTAGTTTTAAACAATGTAAATCATGCACCTGATGTTCATTTGCACTTGATCTCTTTTGGTGTTTTGGATGATGAGGGATATGTCAGTACCAATGGTGCTGGAAAGTGGAAGCAAACTAAGGGCTCCATAATTGTGGCTCGTGGGGAAAAGCGTCGTGGTCTATACTAGACTACGGCTTCTACCTATGTTGATACGGTGAATGCCGTTGAGAGCCATAACTCTTCAACGTTATGGCATAAGAGGCTTAGCCACATTAGCGAGAAAGGACTAAATGTTCTGGCCAAGAAGAAATTGTTGTCAAATTTTGAAAGTGCAAAATTAGAAAAATGTGAGCACTGCTTGGCTGGAAAACAAAAAAGAGTTTCTTTACAGTCTCATCCTCCTTCAAGAAAGACAGAATTGCTTGAGTTGGTGCATTCAGATTTATGTGGTCCAATGAAGACAAGAACTTTGGGTGGTGCACTTTATTTTGCTACCTTTATTGATGATTGTTTAAGGAAACTTTGGGTCTACATCTTGAAGACTAAAGACCAAGTGTTGGGTGTCTTTAAGCATTTTCAGGCTTCAGTTGAAAGAGAAACTGGAAAGAAGCTGAAGTGTATTCGTACTGATAACGGTGGTGAATATTGTGGACCGTTTGACGAATATTGCAAACAACAGGGTATCAAACACCAGAAGACTCCTCCTAGGACTCCTCAACTTAATGGTTTAGCAGAAAGGATGAATAGGACCTTGATGGAAAGAGTCAGATGTTTGCTTTCTGAAGCAAAGTTGCCGAATTCCTTTTGGGGTGAGGCTTTGTTGACCGCCGCACATGTTATTAATCTATCCACTGCGGTTGCTTTGCAAAGTGATGTTCCAAACAGAGTTTTGTATGACAAGGATGTTTCCTATGACCACTTGAAAATGTTTGGTTGCAAAGCTTTTGTACATGTGCCTAAAGATGAGAGGTCAAAATTAACTGCCAAGAGAAGGCAGTGCATCTTCATTGGTTATGGCCTTGATGAGTTTGGTTATAGGCTATATGATCCAATTGAGAAGAAGGTCGTGAGAAGCCGTGATGTTATCTTTAGGGAGGATCAAACCATTGAAGATATTAACAAAGCGGAGAAGCTAAAATATCTAAGTTCTGAAGGTTTAGTTAATCTTGATCAAGTTCTTCATACAAATGCGGATGATGTTGGTGGGCTCAATGATAATGGTGATGCCCAGAATCATATTCCATATCAGCATATTGATGGTGATAGTGATAACAATGCTAATGTTGATGAGGTAGATGCTCCTACTCAAGAAGCTGTGGACGAGTTAGATATTCCACTCAGGAGGTCTTCTAGACCTCGTACTCCTTCCTCCCGTTATTCACCCAATGAGTATGTATTACTCACTGATCGGGGAGAACTTGAATGTTATGCGGAGGCCATAGAAGATGAGCACAAGGATCAATGGATTGAAGCCATGCAAGATGAGATGAAATCTTTGCATGAGAACCATACTTATGAGTTGGTGAAATTGCCTAAGGGCATGAGAGCTTTAAAGAACAAGTGGGTGTTCAAAGTTAAAGCTGAAGAACATATTTTGAAGCGCAAATACAAAGCTAGATTGGTTGTCAAGGGATTTGGTCAAAGGAAATGTATTGACTTTGACGCAATATTTTCTCCTGTCGTGAAAATGTCCTCCATTCGGACAGTTCTTGGTTTGACTGTCAGTCTTGATTTGGAGATTGAGTAGATGGATGTGAAGACTGCTTTTCTTCACAGTGACTTAGAAGAGGAGATTTATATGGAACAACCTGAAGGCTTCAAGGCAAAAGGTAAAAAAAATCTTGTATGCAAACTTAAGAAGAGTCTATATGGATTGAAGCAAGCTCCGAGACAGTGGTACAAGAAATTTGAGTCTGTTATGGGGGAGCAAGGCTACAAGAAGACTTCTTCAGATCACTGTGTGTTTGTACAAAGATTTTCTGATGACGATTTTATCATCCTCTTGCTATATGTGGATGATATGTTGATTGTGGGCAGGAATGCTTCTAAGATTGACGAGTTGAAGAAACAGTTGTATAAGTCTTTTGCAATGAAAGACTTGGGTCATGCTAAGCAGATTTTGGGCATGAGAATTACTCGTTCGAGAAACGAAAGGAAGCTTTACTTGTCACAGGAGAAGTACATAGAATGTGTACTGGAGCGCTTCAAAATGAAAAGTGCTAAGTTGGTTCGCACATCCCTTCCTGGTCATTTGAAGTTGAGCAAGAAGATGTGTCCAACAACAACGGAAGAAAAAGAGAGAATGGCCAAGATTCCTTATTCCTCTGCCATCGGAAGTTTGATGTATGCAATGGTATGCACTCGACCAGATATTGCTCATGCAGTCGGTGTTGTTAGCAGATTTCTCGAAAATCCAGGAAAAGAGCATTGGGAAGCTGTAAAGTGGATACTCAGGTATCTAAGAGGAAGCTCACATGAATGCTTATGTTTTGGAGGATCAAATCCAATTTTGAAGGGCTATACAGATTCTGATATGACAGGTGACCTTGATAACAGAAAATCCACTACTGGATATTTATTTACTTTTTCAGGGGGAGCTATATCATGGCAGTCGAAGCTGCAGAAGCGTGTAGCACTATCTACAACTGAAGTGGAGTATATTGCGGCTACTGAAGCTGGCAAAGAGATGATATGGCTCAAGAGATTTCTTCAAGAACTTGGATTGTGATAGATGGAGTATGTTGTCTATTATGACAGTCAGAGTGCAATAGACCTGAGCAAAAACTCCATGTACCATGCGAGAACAAAACACATTGACGTCAGATATCATTGGATTCTTGAGCAAGTGGAGAACAAATCACTTCAAGTCAAAAAGATTCACACGAATGAAAATCCTGCAGATATGTTGACCAAGGTGGTACCAAGAGACAAGTTCGAGCTATGCAAAGAACTTATCGGCATGCACTCAAACTAGAAGATAGTGCTACCTCCTCTAGATGAATGAGACTGGAGGGGGAGATTGATATCGAATCTCATTCAAATGTTGGTAGCCAATTTTGTTGACTTGGTTTGGTTTGGTAGTCAACCTTGTTGAATTAGTATAATTTGGTAGCAAATTTTATTGACTTGATTTGGTTTGGTAGCCAACCTTGTTGAAATTGTAAAAAGGGTGTGTACATTGTCAAATATTGTAGGCTTTAGAGAGTGATGTTTTGGCTATAAAAGGAGAGCCTTAACTCTCATTTCTACACACCAACAAAGATAGAAAAGAGAGAGCAAGGTATTCCATAAACTATAAGAAAATAGTTTGTAAAGAAAAATAGAATGTGAGAGATATTGTAGTGAGGTGGAAAAAACAAAAGAGTGTTTATATCTTTTGAGGGTGTAGTGGTCTTAGGAGTATTTTTACTTGTTACTACACAGTGTAAAATTCCTCTCTATAGTGATTTCAGTTGCTCTTCTTGGCCGTGTTTTTTTCCCTTATTCAGAAGAGTTTTACGTAAAATCTTGGTGTCATTATTGCTGTATTTCTATTCTTGCTGATTTAACCATAACTTAGTGTTCTGCGTTTATCACTAATACCGTGAATACTATTTTTACGGGGTTTATTCCCAACACTTAACTTATTAAAGAAGGTTATTTTTCTATTATCAAAGTTACTGTATTCAGCTTGCTATAAAGAGTTATATGTTGTAGCAGATTTTTACTGTTGGAACGATTTCACAGGAAACAATTTTTTTAAAAAATACTTAACACTTTACTTTGGAAATGTATAGTTTGGATTACAAAAAGTATTTGTATTTATACAAAAAAAATGATTACATAATAGGGAAATGTATAGGTACTATCTGCAGGCTTTTATACTTAAACTTTCCTGGAACTCTAAACTTCCTTTCATATTATCACTAGAAAGTTTGGCGATTCTGCAATTAAGGGTCCTCTGTTTGGACTGGAATTACTTACGTTATCATGAGCCTACAGAAAAAAGTTTGGTTTTGAAAAATTTGCAACGTCTGTCCGGATGGAATCCTTGGTATTGTATTGGGTCTCTCTTTAGACTATTTCCCAATTTAAAGAAGTTGCAAATACATGGCACCCGCGAAGACTTTCATGGTCACAAAGACCTCTATGATTTTCGCTACTTAGATCAGCTCGAGGAATTCGAATTTTATCAGTCTTATCCAGACACATTTGCTTGTGATTAGCATACTGCTCCAATCCTTTGGATACCATCTATTTACACCAATCATTAACATGTGTATTCCCAAGGGCTGTATTTCGTCATCTGAAAACATTCAGAAGAGGTACATGTAGCTTCATGTAATACTATTTCAGGAGAGATACATGTCCAGTTGTAATATGATCTCTGATCTAGATTATTGAACTTTCAATACTAGCTGGAGGGTGGTCGGTACTGACTGGGAGAGCATGGATAAGATTTTGTTTTCTCATCCTTCTGCTGTAATGTGTGAGAGATTCAGAGGCTTACTTGGTATTAGTGATTCGTTGATGCAGCGTATGCATATTTCGGAATGTCATCTATAGTTCTATTGGAGGACTAGATGAGTTAACGCTGTCTGTGCTTGGGCAAAATATGCTATTTATCTTGTAATTCCCGTATATATCATTCAATGTCAATAGGCTTCCTTCTGATTCATGTTTAAGTTTCTCATTGAGTGTCAATGAACTTCCTATTAGTACAACTCCATCGGTCCAACTCTATGTGTTTTGGTCTATCTTACTTTCGGTTGCTGATAGAAAAGGCAGATCTTTCGCACCAGCCCTGATGCACTGATGATAGTACATAATATCTCCTTGGAAATTTCCTTAATTCCAGGACACAAAATAGATCCTGTGGGTGGTCAAATCTTAGGAATTGCAGTTAGTTTTTATTCCATTAAACGCTGATACAAAAAATAAATTCTCTTTGCCGTCAAATATTGGATATACAGTCGTATGCTTAGTCTTACCTGCAATTCTTGTGCTAACTGGATCTACATTGCTCAGAGGTGAATAATTATCATGCATAAAATCTCTGTAGTAAGCTAATTAGAGTAATATTTTGATTGGTCCCTCTGCTCACATCATTTTATATTCCAGGAGGTATATCGCAATGGTGAAGATGTGCCAGATTATTAGAGATAGGAATAAACTGATGACACTATTACTTTTACTGATGAATATTATCCTTGTCCATTTTCAGGACAGGTATTGTTGCTAATACATTTTTTCTTTCTTTCATGGTTATGCAAATTCTGCTTGCTTACCTTCAATTGGGCGTTGCAGTTCTTTTGAATGTGGCACCAAACCATACGCAAAAGACGACTTGTATTTGCTTTGTGGAAAGTTAATCTCAGCTTTGGAGAGGCTTGAACTTCTAAGCGAGGTATGCTAACTAAAACTCCTCTCCTTCCCTGCACCCTAAACAATATAAAATTCTGATATTTAAGTGGAGAAGGGTAGAAGGGCGGACCCATTATTCATTGAGTTTCGAACCGCGCGCCATTGGCCCTTGAGGATTCTCAAAAAAGACTAAAATGCTTGTGCAAATTCTCTTGTTCAGCCATGTTTAGCAATATTTAAACTTTGTAACCTGCATGCTAATGCTTGTTATAATTGTCTCTTTGTCCTTAATTATGGGAATTTAGCATTTCATTTTTGATCCTTCATTTGTCTGCAGGATAAAACGGGTCATGACCTTAAGGTGTTCCGAAGATTTGCTAGTTCTGTGAAAGAAATATCGATTCAGAAGTCACCTGTTTGAGTAGAGATCTTGTTCATTCTTTTTCTTTTCTAAATTTTAGCATAGTTAGGATGAGTTTGGATGTCGTTTAAATGTAATTGTATATCGTCTTTTATCCAGTATCGGTCTTGTAATTTTTTTAATCCTCCAATCAGTTGTACATATTGTATATCATACAACTTGCTGTAATGTGCAATTTAGTATTTTCCATTTCAATGGAGTTTTATTTTGTTTGTTCTAAATTTTTTCACATTAAAATTGAATTATTATGATGTATTTTCCAAATGCTGTATGAAATTTATTATTGACGACATAGTAATTTTATTGGAGTTGGGCGGTGGTGTTGCGAGTTTTCTAGTGATTATGGTGAATGATTCCTAGGTTGCAGGTAGTGGCGAAATCAGAAATTCGAATAAGGAGATTAGAGAAACAATACACTAAAAGTTTTCTTAATATAAAGGGAATTTTATAAGGTTTATGTATATTTAAAATTATTTTTCTCTAAAAATGCAATATAATTTTCCGGTGAAAAGGATTCAATTGAACCCATTCACCGTACATAGCTCTGCCACTGAATGTAGTTGTCTGGTGAATATTTGATGAAGCTTAGAGGAAAAATGGGTACTCCTGTATTAATGGCGTGACTCAATTGATTTTGTACTCTATTATATTATTTTTAGTTTTATGTCAAATCTTTCAAGAGATTTTTGTTTTTACATGTAAGAGATCAAAGAATAAAATACAAGAGTGTTTGGAGGATCCAATAAAATACTTAAGGTGGTACCGTCATAATAAAATGGTTAAAATTTGGTGGGTGGAGGTAGTGTTTGTTAGGGAGAAAATGGTTACGAGAGTGAGTAATCGAAAAAGTCAACTATTTCTCAAAGATTGCTGGTATTTGAATTCAATTCCCCCAGATTTTGCAGATATAATCACACTTGCTCTTAGTTAATATATTTTCAGTTTGATTAGACAACTGTTATACACAATATCGACTTTTTACAGCTATGTAGTACAAATGTACAATCGATTGTATTATAGGGATTTTTACACAAATAGCCGGTCATATCCATTGTTTATTTTTTACAGTCATATACATGGATTATACAATAATTATACATATATAATACACAAATTATGTATATATTATAGGCAAAATGACATCTTGGTCACTTAAACTTGCACCCAATTGCCAACCGATAAATAAAATTATAATATTCTCATTTGAACACTTCTACTTGATCTAAACCCATATTTTAAACACCTCCATCAGAGCGTGAACCTCAACTGCACTGACAAGGATTACACGTCATATGACAAGGTGTAATTTGTGGGTCCCACATCAATCGAGAAAAGGAAAGAAAAGAAGAGAACTTAAGGAGGAATTGGGGGAGGTGAAGGGATCGGGAATAATGGGGGTGGGAATACCAAAAAGGGGAAAGAAAGAGGGAGGGGTCAAATGAAGGGGGAATGGGGAGGGGTTAAAAGGTAGGGGAATTACAGTTTTTTTTCATTTTCCTTTTTTGTTTTTTTAAGTTTGTGTTTTTGTCTATTTCAAATGAAGGGGGAATGGGGAATAAGTTTGTGTTTGTGTTTGTGTTAAAGTCAGATTCTTATTTGTGATCACATATTTTCCCAAGACATTATATCTTCTTGAGTAGTTCTTAATCTTTAAAGCACAAAAGAGATAATGTTGATGGCCAAATTTATGAAGTATAATCGTGATTAATTTTATTTTTATTGATCTTGAGAAAGATCAAAGCAACTGTACCAATGACATTTTCATTTGATATTTCAATTCCTCAAGCTGATCAATATGTTTCTTCTTCTTCATCGTCTTCCTCTTCCTCTTCTTCGTCTTCTTCCTCTTCCTCTTCTTCATCGTCTTCCTCTTCCTCTTCCTCTTCTTTGTCGTCTTCCTCTTCCTCTTCCTCTATAGGCTTGAACTCGAGCTCCTGTTATATAAGGAACTTTTTAATCAAAAATTCAAAATCCCCCTCACTTCATTACCACATACTTGCAACTTCTTTAGATCGCAAAGCAGTCTAAAGAAAGATATAAGAATTACATATTTGTCTTGGTTTTCTTACCATGTTTGATTTTCCTATCTCTTGAAAAACATGACAACATATTTACAATAATTGGGTTTTTCGTCTTTTAGAAGGAATTAAACCACGTTAAATATTTGTGTTTCTTTTGGTATATTTCTCTTTTATTGTCTCATTTATGGTCTTTAGGATTTGTTGAACTAACTTCCACTTGACACATAATAATTTCAAATCCTAACAGAAAAACTTTCATAACCAAACTTTTCACTGTCAAAATGAGTGATCATAATAAATGGATCACTCTTGACCTAAAAAACCCATGGATATTCAATTTGAGCATTTCAAGATTGGGAAAATTTATCAAGCACGTCATGTCACATGTAAACTAACTAGTGATTGGTTAATGAGGTTTCTATCCTAATTTGGACAGAAAACAAAACTGATCTCTACAGAGATTTCTATATATGGTAATTTAAATGGAGTAATGGTTAAAAGTAAATGAATGATATAAGAATTAAATTTAAGGAAGAAGATGTCTTACTATATGGACCACAAGGGAGGAACTACCATAGTTGTCTAGCATGTCCTGTTGAATTTGCTTGGCAGAATTCCCAACAGATTCTGCACAACTCCATACAACAATATGAGCAAGTGTGGTTATATCTGCAAAATCTCGAGGGATTGAATCCAAAGAATAACAACCTCCAATAACTAATCGTTCAAGGCATGGAAAGTGATGACAACTAGCTCTCCAGTACTGAAAATCCACTTCTTCAAGGTACAAGAACTTCAACCGAGGAAAACCGTGGTCCGCTACTTCCCACTCTTTGCCTTTACAGGCATTAACTATTAGTTTAAGAACCTCGAGTTTGGGCAATTTACCAACAATGCTCAAATTCTTCCAGCACAAACAAGTGTTAAAAAGAGTTAATGTCTTCAGATTTTGTGGAAAAGCATCCGGAGGAGGTAGGAGCCAAGGTGGAACAACATCTGGAGGAGTTGGACCTCGCATTTTCAGAAACCTCAGAGGATCTTGTGGAGTAGCACCTGAAGGTGTAATGCTTTCTAGAAAGCAAGCATGATAATCTGCATGAGACATACAAAATCCCAATTCTTCGAGTTGATCTAAGCAACGAAAATCATAGAGGTCCTTGCGACTACGGAAGTCTTCTTCAACACCCCATATTTGCAACACCTTTAAATTGGGAAATAGTCTGAAGAAAGATCCAGTACAATACCAAGGATTCCACATTGAGAGATATCGCAAATTTTTCAGAACCAAACTGTTATCTGTAAGCTCATGATAATACAAGTAATTCCAGCCCAAACAGAGGTGCCTCAGTTGTGGCATAGTCAAAATTTCCGATGGTAATATCAAAGGATGTCGTGGAGCCTCGTAACATGGCTGACCAAGAATAAATGTTTCTAAATAACATAGTCTAGATATGGAAGAAGGAATGTCTATTGACGAGGGAGTCTCTTTTCCTAGATAGTAATGCAGGAAAGACGCAAAGCTAGGTATCTCAAGTGAATTAGATCTAGTATCCCACTAGGAAAAACAATAAAGTTCATTAAAGCAAGATCTAGTACTCTTAATAGCTTAAAAGGCAACAACTCTGACATGAACCCCGACTTACTATTGAAAAAGAAAACAGAACGAGCCTCATTATTAGGACATCTAGCCAATTTTTTCACAATAATACGGTAGTTCAATTGGGTACTGGTCCGACCTCGACTATTTGAGGAAAAATGAATGGATAGTGCACATGGATTTTGATCATTCTTTTCTCCAATAAAATTCACAATATTCATGTTTCGAGCTTCCTTCAGGCAGAGTTCACGGATCACGTTATGTATTCTACAAAACTTCGTCCCTTCATAAAATTTCTCATCATGGATGGAAAGTAAACTTCTATCTATTAAATCTTGTAGACATTTTTCTGCCACTTCTTCTATACTTTTCATCTCTTCTACCTTCAAAAATCCCTCTGCTGCCCATAATGTCAAGAGTTTATTGACATAAATCTTTCATCCTCTGGGAAGATTGCAAAATACAGAAAACATGCTTTTAGGTAATGTGGCAAGTGATGGTAACTCAAAGCAAGCACTCTCATGCATTGGACGTCAACATCAGTGCTTACCATTGAACTTACTTTCTCGGAAACACTTTGCCACTCATCCAATGCTTTACCAATTTTGGAGAGAAGTCCAGCAATCACAGTAATTGCAAGAGGTAATCCTCCGCATTTTAATGCAATTCCTTTTCCAATTTTTTCAAATTCAGAAGAGAAACAATCTTTCTCGAAGACCTTTTTGTACAGTAAATCCCAACTTTCATTAAAATCTAAAAGACGCATTTGACAAGGAGGATTACCTGAGCTAGCATATTTAGCTACTTCCACATTCCGAGTGGTTAAGAGTATTCGGCTTCCATTGGTGTAGTCCGGGAAACATAACTTTATATTATCCCAAGCTTCTGAAGTCCATATGTCATCAATGAGGATCAAGTATCTCCTGCCTTTTAGAAGCTTTTGCAGTTGGTCTGCTAGTTGGCCATCATCTTGCTCGAAATATTCATTAGTCCTTCCACTTATAGAAGAAAGAAGTCCTAGTAGTACATTTCTCGCGCAATACTCTTGTGAAACAATAATTTTTGCACGAATGTCAAAGTGAGACATAATGAATGGATCAGTGTAAAGCTTGTTAGCTAAAGTTGTCTTACCGATGCCGCCCATCCCTACAATCGAGACAACTTCTAGTTCACTTGATCCTCTTGCAAGTCGATCCTGCATCATCTCGAACTCACTTTCATGGCCAACCATAATATTCTCGGGCTCTACAGCACGTTCAGGTATACTGGCTAGAGAAAACTTTTGTGCTTTCAAACCTTTGATGTTAGTGTACCAGTCCCGTATCGCCATCCACTGCTTCATGATGGAATCAATGCGTTCTACTGCTTGTTCCAAGCAACAACAGAGTTTCCAGAAAGCGTTGCTCCGTAAAGTTGGTGTTTTTGAATCAAGAACTTTTATTGATCTCGAGTCAATCTTATCTTCTGCATTGAATACTACCTCTTTGATTTCAGCTTCCAAGCTTGTCAGCGCTTCAATATCCTCTGTTATATTACAGGGTTTCTCCATAATAGATCTCAAGGATTCAAGTTTCTCATAGAATGACA